GATGTGTCCCAATTATGCATGGGAACCTACAAAGCAACAGCGCCGTGCATCGATTGTGAGGAATTTTTATTGTGTGTTAATTAATTTTCTTGTGATATTAAGTATTGCTTATTTATTTGTTTTGTAACAATTTATTTTTCTTGCAGACCATTCCACCACTGTGTGACTTTGAGCAGTGGATTGACACTGAGATCAAGGAGTCGGACAAGCGGCATCTAGAAGGCCTGAAGGAGTGGGATGCGGAGGTTAAGGAGAGGTTTGAGCAAAGACGCAGATAGGATGCTATAGAAAAGGAGCATAAGGAAGAGGAGGAAAGGAGGTGTGTTGCTGCGTACAGGGTGGAGAGGGAGAAGAAGCTTGAGCGTGTGCGCCGAGCGAAGGCAGCGATGGAGGATAATCCCGATGCCTAGAGGAAGAGAAAGTGGCCTCGTTGCACTCAGTAGGTATTTGGTTTATTCATGAGCGATGTCGTGTAACCCTGGACTTTTTTTACTATGTTGTAATGCACTCTGCTTTTATTTCAGATGAACTTATTCCCTGGACTTTTTTTATTATGTTGTAATGCATTATGCTTTTATTTCAGATGGTCTTATGCCCTGTACTTCGTTAACTATCCTAGGACTGTAGGGCTACTGTTTGTATCACTGAAAAGGCTACTTGTGCTGTTGCAGTCACTGAAAGGGCTACAAGTACTGTTGCAGTCAATGAAAAGTCTATTTGAAAACTCACTAAAAAGCCTAGATTCATTTACTGTTGTATCCATATATGCAATGAATTAATATCAGAGTGATGTACTGCATTTAGATGAAGTGACAAAATACAGGTGTAGCCTTTTCAGATGAAATGACTAGTCATGGTTGTAGGCTTTTCAGATGAAGCATCTAGCCTTTGCAGATTCAATAAATGAGTACGCACACAAGTTTTTTGTCAAGTAGCATTCATGGTGAACCTGCCTTCATCTCTATATATAGTGCTCCATGTCTTGCTCCACATCCACACAACTTGTTTTCTGGTTTAGTTTTAGCAAATGTCGAGCGAAGGTTCCTCGAGTGAAAAGGGTTTCGGTGGAGGGAGAGGAAAGGGGGTGAGGAAGGGACCTCCGATTGTGTGGGAGGGTTCTCTAGGTCCTGATTCTTTTGAAGAACCAATAGAGGAGTTTTCTTTGGAGAGGAAGAGTGACTTCACCCGTGAGAGACCTCTTAGATCATACGACAAGCGCATTGAAGATTGGCCAAAATACCGCCACGGTTTGGATTGCGTTGTGCAGATGTACAACGACTGTGACGGTGGAGGCCGTCGTTTCTTCATATGCCCGCGAGGATTTGTATTTCCTTTGAACTCTCTCCTTTTTTAGATTTGCATTTGGTTTGTCGTAGTACTTATTGGTAGATGGGTTTTCAGGATTCAAGCTGTCCATATAACTGTGGCTTCACTAGATGGGTTGACCCTCCTCCTATCTATCTCCATCAACAGTACATCACATATCTACAGGGACGCATCTTTGACCTAGAGTATGGCCCTGGAAGTGGTAACAGGGACAAGTCGAACGACGACAACAGCAATGATGCAGAGGAGGCACTATGCAATAATCCGTACTGCCAGTGCCTGTATCATAAGAAGCACGGGCCTCCTTCTCCACTGCCACCGCCACCGCCGCCGTCAACTGGAGGATACTATGGGGAAGGCGCAACTCAGTTCAATATGTGGGAGCATTATTAGGACCAACCTTTGTTAGTCAATCCGAATGTGGAATGCTTGTATGAGTTGTTCTTTTCAATCTCCTAAGGCATGCTAGGTTTAGTTTGCAACATGCCATTGTTAGTTTTCATGTGAGTGTGTAATCGTAGTACCTTTGCAACGTCTGTATCACTTGTTTCTTTCAATCCCCTAAGGCATGCTAGGTTTAGTTTGCGACATGCCATTGTTAGTTTTGATGTGAGTGTAATCGTTGTGCATTCGCTATTTCATAAATTGCAGTTTACCTATCTCTAAGTTTCATGTACTATGGTTGATTCCCAAACTGAAAAAAGATTTGACTCTCTCTAAAAATAGGGGATTAAAATCGAACCAACCTTCGGTTTTTCCTGCAGGAACAAACATAAATATAGCATGTCTACTCTTATTAGTATAACTCGTGTTAGTAGAAGATGAATTGTTGAGAAAGATTTTTCATTTGAATCGTGCAAATAGGATTTCAACCTATACCAAAGGTTTAGAAGACCTCTGTCTTTAATACTTTATTCTTTCTTTTTTATGATTTATAGGCTCGGCGTCAAGTCGGACGACGCCGAGGTAGAAGACCATGGCGTTGATTCGGCCCACGCCAACCCTAGGGTTTGGCTCAGCCGTTCACGCCGAGATTAACGGCTAGGCGTCAATTTACGGAACGCCGAGCTTGGGCACCTCGTCGCTTCGAGGCAAAGGATTCCAGTATGCACTAGGGGTCGGCGTCAATTGACTAAACGCCGAGGTGCCCACCCTCGGCGTGTGTTCAATTGACGCCGAGCTCCTGGGTTCACCAAAAACAATGAACTGAGCATACACATAACACATAATACACAGAATACATGAGCATACAGAATTTCACATAACAAATGACCACACCGACATACACATTCATTCAACAACCATACATACATAAGGTCCAACACATTCAACATCCAACATAGTCCAACACATTCAACATCCATACATAGTCCATACATATGCTTCATCAATCATCCAACATAGTCCAAACATAGTACAAGGTCCATACATAGTGCATTACATAAGGTCCAATGCATACATAGTCCATGCACAAAAGAAGCATATGAAGTCTTTGGATCTTTTAGCCCACCATCAGCTACTGCCCTGTGACCATGGCTAAGGTCCTCGAAATCATCAACTAGTGGATCTCTCCAAGGCAAGACCCTAGACAATATCTCTATTTCCCTAAAATTAAGACGACCAACAGGGCGATCGTCATCAGAGTCTTCGGCTATCTCCTCTATGAAGGATTCATCATCTCCAGCTATCTCCATGTCAAAACGGTTCGTAGCCCTAGCATCACCAAAGTCTTCTTCACCACTAAGATCATCTTCGTCGCTAAGCTCATCCTCGATAGAAAAGTCTCCGCTAGCGTCGTCCAAACCTTCTTCTATATCACCAATTACATAATCATCATCCTCTTCATCACTATCATGATTGCCCTCATCATCGGCAACCACATTCTCCTCCTCATCTCCACCGCCCTCAAATCAACCTCCATCACGCTCGAGCGATCCAAACACTTCACCACCACTGTAGCCTAGTTGTGTGACAAATATTTCTTCTTCAGACAAAGGACTATAACCTATGTGAGCGGGTGAAGATGGGCATGCTTCGAAGTTATCATTTCCTAAGCCGGACTCCTTACTTACTACTAAATCCAAAGATCGCACTTCTGAGGCCAATACAACTGCCTTGTAATCATTATATTCAGACTCGCTTGTAATTTTGAGCAACCGCTTGATCCGAGGACCCTTTGACGACCCAATATCTATGACACCTTCAAACTAAACATGCACGTCTCCTTCATTCTAGCCTAACTTAACCTTCACTCGCTCCACTAACTGGGTCAAAGATGGTGTTTCAGAAAAAATCAACAACTCCTCACATATGTCTAGAAATTTCAAACTATCATCTCTTGTCCTAACAATACGGCCTCCATGATGCAACCTCACTAATTTATCCATCTACAACCATCACACAACAAGTAGTGTCACATATCAATATATCATGCGAGTTTCAATCCAATAAGTAGAAACTAAAATATATCATTTCATCTTTTTCAACCCTAACAACATAATCATTTCTAGTCATAAAAAATTAAAATCTAATGACCAACAAATAACTAAAATACATACTAACCCTAATGACCAACAAATAACTAACCTTAATGACACATACAATAAACAAAGAACCCTAATGACCAAAATAACTAGAAACCAAACTAACCTAACATGTTCAGCACATAAAACAGTTAAACAACAATGCACTCAATCAACCTAAGCCATACATTTTGCAAATGCAAATACACATATACCAAAACACCATACACCCATGATTCCACATGATTAGAGACAATATAAGCACATCTACGCGGATAGATTGGAGGAGGGGAGGGACCATTACCTCGAGGAAGCTTCGGGAGACGAGATCCAGCACCTAGGGTCGCATTTGGGGGTTAGGGTTTCGTGGGGGCCGTGGAGGTGGAGTCAGCACGGAGCCGGCGCTTTCACAATGGAGGGAGGAAGAAGAAGGGGGCCGCGGCGCGGCTTCAAGAGTCCAGACCTCGGCGTTGAGTCGGGCCGCGCCGAGTCTGGTGGCTCGACGTTAAGTGACCCCGCGCCGAGCTATTGGGCTACGAAGCGTTGTTGGGCCACCTGGGCCGCGCGTCGGACGGTGCCAATAGCTCGGCGTGTAGTCCCACCGCGCCGAGGTTGGGCCTGTGGCGTTGGCGGACACAACGCCGACGTGTCGGACCCCATGCGCCACCGTGTCGCCGTCGACCGGGGTCGTCCGTGACGTGGCAAGACCTCGACGTCGTGTCAGTCGACGCCGACCCTCATACCTTGGCATCATGTTCTAAGACGTCTAAAAATAGTCTATTTTCAGCAAATGTTTTGGCATAGGTCTTTTTATAAAAAATGTTTTCAAATACTACCAAAATGCAAAAATTTCGCGCCGAGAGCAGCGCGCGGCCGAGCCTTTTTCCCCTTGCTCCGCGACGAAATAAGCAGGCTCTGAACTGGCCCGAACTGGCGCGCAAGGCACGCATCGTCCCGGAGCACGACCCTCCCCCGACGTGGCACGGCCCAGGGGACCTATAAATGCCGCCATTGCCTCTCCCTCCCTCTCCGCATCCGCAAGCTAGATCGCCATTCCACTCCGCCTTCTGTTGGAGGCTCCGTTCCTAACCAACACAACACCCTTTCCGTTCGAGAGAGTCCCTTGCGTTGCCTTGTCGGTGGGTCGCGAGGATGACGCCGGCGAGCGTGGTCGCCATGCCCAGGAGCGTCCCGTTGGCGCTGGCGTCGTTCCCGGCGCCCGCAAGGGCCGGGGAGCGGAGGAACGCCCGGTCCTTCAGGCCCGCGGCGTGCGGCGCCGGGGACGACCATCAGCAGCCGCCGTCCATGGCCGCGATGCCGGCGTCTCTGCGCGCCATCCAGGCCAGGAGGAAGCAGGCGGCGGCGCAGCGAGGGGTGCCGCGGGCGATGGCCACGAGCGCGGCCGGGTGCGCCGTGGCGGCCCTTGTCAAGGCCGTGGAGGCCGTCCAGGGCGCGGCGGCCGGGGGCGCCGCTGAGGCCGCGCGCGGCGCTGGGGGCGCCGTGGCGTGGGTCTTCAGCATGGTTCACCTCCAGTCGCCAGACCTCGCCGTCGGGCTGCTCGGGATGGTCGCCTGCTGCCTCGGCACAATCGTGGAGGCGGAAAGGGGCCGCATGGAGGCGAAGAAGCCCGAGGCGGCGGCGTTGGGCAACGCAGCAGAGGCTGACCACCCCGACGGCAACGGGGACGCGACGGAGGAACCACCCGAGGACGACATGCCGGAGCTGGTGGAGGCGGACATGGCGAAGGAGCTGTGGGGCCAGATCGGCATCTTGCATGGCGGCGGCCTGTTCGGGGACAGCTACGGCCAGGAGGAACTCGATGAGGAAGAGATCAAGGAGATCGACAGCGCCCGCGCGCGGCGCCGGAAGGCGGCGTACGAGAGGATCATCGCCTCAGGCGATGCCAACTCGCTCATCCTGTCCAACTACGCGCAGCTCCTCTACGAGTTCGACAAGGACATCAACAGGTGCCTCTTGGCCCATGCATGCATGCATGCTTTCAAATGCGACCCTTCATTCAATCACGATCTAATTAACCAACCTGTTAGGAATCTTGGTTTCTTACGCGTTATCACGGCACACATGTGACGACAGGGCGGAGATGTACTTCAAGCAGACGGTGGCCGCCGAACCACCGGACGGCGAAGCGATGCGGAGGTACGGCATGTTCCTCTGGCACGCCCGCGGCGACATGGGCGGCGCGGAGGACATGTTTACCGGCGCCATCGACGAGGAGCCCGAGAGCAGCCACCACCGGAGCAGCTACGCGTGGTTCCTCTGGATGACCGGCGGCGTCGAGACCTGCCTCATCGACAGCGGCAAGCAGAACAACGGCAACGACATCGAATGAACCGCAGCCCTTCGATCGGAAATACAATCCATCCAAACAAGACAAGAAGACAAGACCTTACCACCGGCAAGTGCCCGGCGGCGGGCCGGCCATTTAGATGGTGCGTCTAGGTGCCGCGTGCCTGGCAATGGCTATACAGCAAGCATAGCATCATCCATGAGCAGCATCGGCCCTTGTAGGGGCCAGTTTTCCAGTATACTAGTAGATGGATGCACATCAAGGAGCCAACCCAGGACCAGGAGGCAAACAAATAAGGTTGGCAAAGCTAGCGCATGTTAGAGCGTGTGATGCTAGTACTAGTAGTATGTAGAATAAAGCATCCATGCATCTTTCCATTCCATGGCATGGATCCATCATGAGATAGTAATGTTATAACTGCATCTGCATTGTGAATGATCAATAATAATATGTGTGTGGGGAAACCATAGTGCTTCCTTTTATATATTTATATATATGGGATGTTTAAGTTTGCAAGTGTAAGAACTAAGGAGCATGGTTACATTGCTGCTGATATTTGAGATATACAGAGGTTTGTACATAGATCGATAGATACATAGTTATGGAGAAAATCGGCATCACGTCTTCCTGCTGGGGATCACGTCTTGTCAATTGTCATGGTGGCTCTATAGACAGGCATGAACACTTAAAGGACGATATCGACATGTTAACATGAACCATAGGGATGAACTCTGTTGAATCACCTACAGCCCAGCTCCAATCTCGCATCTGGGATGATACTGGTGTTTCTACATAGCTTCTGAAGGTCAATGTAGCCAATGATTGTGTCCTCAAACACGACATTGTCCATCTTCGCATCATCAAAGGTCGATCCTGACAAAACTGTGTTCTTGAAGATTGCCCCTGTGAGATCGGCCTTCTCGAAATTGACACGGTCTATCACTGCATTCGTGAAGTCGGTTCCTGAAAAAGCATTTGAACCAGAAGAGCTCATCATTCTGTTCATTCAGTATTTCTGTATTACAGTATAAAAACAATTCAGCAATATTGTGCAGTGAACAAGAACAACAGAATAAGCTGTACAATTTTTCCTTAAAAAAAAAGAGGTGCACAATTAGTTACTACCTTTGAAACTTGCACCAACAGCATAAGCTTTGGACATGACAACTTCAGACATGTCAGCGCCATCAAACTTTGCCTCGGACATCAACGCTGCAGCTAAAGACTTGCCTTTTAGATTAGTTTTCTCGTTCGAGTAATCACAGAACCGGAGATCAAGGGGCTTGTCATACACCCCATTTGCCTGACCAATTGTGTTCCCCACAAATGCACGCTCACATCTGTTTGGCTCCGTTGAGAGTGGAGGCAATCTCTAACAAAAAAGAAAAAAACAAATAATGAACAATGTAATGTCAGTAAAGTAAACCAGCTGTAGTAAGGAAAAATGAGTCCTAGATTTATGATGAAGCTTTTGAAAATGCTGAGAACACTGGTTGTATATTCAGGTCACACTTACAGGATCAAAAAGAAAATGAAGAATAATTCTGCCTTAAAGCTAAAATGTATTCATAGTTCAGAACTCAATCTAAGCAAAGTGAAAATGGGCATGGTTCATCTGGTTAATCAGATAACCAAATACAGCAAAATGGTTATTTCTCCACAAATATTCCCCTCTTCTCTGTAGCTGTACCAGAACCCACTTTTGAACACGCAATGCCAATCTGAAGTCTCATAAGACTAACCAAGAACAGAATTTCTAGCTTTACATTGAACACAACTACACAAGTGATGCTAAATTTGAGGTGCTTTCCAGAACATATAGAGAATTGAATTGAATTGAATAACGTGCTGAACTTCAACAACTGATGTTGCAGTATCCACATCAAATTATGTGGTCGCTGTACAATTCTTTTAAGTGAATAGGGCAAACTCTTGAGATTGATCCGATTTTATCATCATAAGAAATGTCTTGTGCTTAACTCTTGAGTAGTGAAGTACCAATATCTCTTTTAACAGAACTCAAGCATCTTGTACTTAACTAGTTACTGTTTTCCATGTATACAAATTTTCAATGGAGCAGCTCTATATATTTTACAGCAACTTATCTGAACCGAATTAAGGGAATCAGTAAATAGTGACTATGCCTGCTATCAGATCGTAAAATGTGAGGCCGATTCAATCAGAAAAAAAAATGAAAGATCACATCCAGTGAGACCGAGACTAACATTTGACAGAGATTAAAAATTCCATCCCAGCAATAGCTCCCTTTTACTGCCTAGTGTTGTAACGTGACGTTATCGATAAAAAGTACATTACATTCCAGAAATTGCACCCCACCCACAACGCGAATGTGTGATAAGAAAGAGGGGTATTCAGATTCACCAACCTGGCTCGCGGCAATGACCGGATTGGACGCAGACGCGACGGCCCAGGCCGCCAGCACGCCGCACGCGAGGCGGCCGGCGCCCTTGGCCCACGCCGGCTCGGTGTTCCCGCCGGCGTCGGCCGCCGCCGAGCACGCCACGCGGCACCTCGGCCTCCGCGGGCGGCAGAGCGCGGCGCCAGACGGCGAGGCGAGGCAGGACGACGCCATGCCAATGCGGTTGCGGTGCGGCTGGCTTGGCCTGTGTGAGGTGAAGGAGGGGAGGGAGAGGAGAGGGTGGCGATGAGGCAGAGTCGGAGCGAGCGCTCCACGCTATCTTATCGGCTTATCCGTGCCACCGTGTCCCTCTTCTCCCGACTTGGCGGGAAGCCCCACGGGGCCCACGTGAGACTCGAGGCGTCCCGACTCCCGACCCGCCGCGACCATTTGGGAGCACGTACACCCACCCGGTCTATTTCGGACGAGTTCTGGTTCTTTCTCCCTCATGTTCCGTTCGATGCAACTGGGCAGTTGAGTTGGATTTTGAAACCTTAGAAGCTGAAATTCAGAAGCTAAAACAAACAACTAGCTATTGAGTTGACATTCGAAAAACAAATTTTGAAATGAACTAAAAGCTAAAAGTACGCTTTAAATAACTTTTCCTATTTTTGATGTGCCGAAGAGCTAAAAGTTTATTAAAAAAAAACTACTCCATCTGGCTTTGTTTCAGCTTAAAAAATTGTTTACAAATAAATCAATATTTTGAAGACTAAATGGTTCATCGGGTCATTTATTTTTGTCAAAGTCTCCTTGCATTTACTACACCCCCCATATCTCAAAATCTAATATTGGGTTTCTACGGTTGGATGTGTGTAATAATGCCATAATTAGTGTGCTATTGGAACAATCACCGATCAATGTGTAAATATGCAACTACTCTAGTTAATAAAGGATAATGTAATCTTTTCTATATGATATCAATCTGTCCTAAACTCGCTTGATCGTTTCTGTGGCTTATAAGCGGGCTGATGTTGTTTTATTGTGAGAGAAAAACACCGTATCATAGCTGATAAGCATAGCTGATACGATCAAGCGAACAGTGTGTATAGTTGAGTAACAATCTTGACATGAACAATAAGTTTCTTATTTTTTCAAAGGGAAACAATAAGTTTCTTACGATGCACCTCCATCTTGTAGCTATCAAAGTGAATAAAAAATGATTTTCTCTCCTTTGTTCTAAAATAAGTATAGGCCATATTCGCTTCTCTTATAAGCCGTACTATTTTAACAAACGAATAGTATTTTTTTCATAATAAATCAGCAAACAATATTTTCAGCCATAGTTTTTGAGCAAAACGAACAATGCCATAGTTGAGTAACAACATTACGATTGCCCTCAACGGGTCAAGCTGAGCAAGATCGATTCTTTTATTTAGTTTTTGTTTACACTGGATTCGTCGAACGCCCAGAGTGTTGCAATCACAGTAATCGGATTGAATAGATTTTGTGTTATTCGTTGTGGAACCTATTCATTCTATTTAATTAGTGGACCTACAACGAGACTTTGAAATGGTAATTTGTGAGCACTCGTGCCATAAATATAAACATGGTGGTTCACCATAGTTTAACCAGCCCAAACAATACCAGCCAACAGAAAGATACATGAAGGAGCAACTAAACGTTGCATTCGTTCAGACCTAGCTACCTTAACTATTAAGTTGATCTATTTGCCACTCAGGGATGCTGTTTCATCTGCTAGGAAACTAGGATCTCCTACATCTTCCAATCAGCAGCATGTCGAAGAACAAACATCTCTTGCGCTGTCTTGTGCATCACTAAGCAATTCTGCCTGCTGACTGGGTGAGGACGCCCACTTTTCAGGGACATCACCATCTTTTCTAGTAACTCTCTTTTGTTCTCTTTTGGGCACAGAATAACCCAATATTGTGCATGGCTCACAAGTTACAACCTTCTAAAGTAAGAATTGACAGGCTAACTCTCCTAATTTTGGAACAATCATCACTGTCTTTTGTCTAAAAAAAAATCGAAACAACAACAACAACGACCCACACAGAGACGGGTCTGAAACCGAAGGCAAACCAAACCAACCGACCAAATCCGTTATCCATCGCCTCGTCTCCGCTCTCCCTCCGCCGGCAGCCATGAACGGCATCAACGCCAACGGCGGCATCCTGTCGTACGGGAACATGGAGGGCTACGCGATGTGGGTGGCCACCGGCGTGGCGTCGGCCTTCTTCGCGTCCCTGGAGCGCTGCTCCTGCATCCACCTCCACACCGCGGAGGACGACGGCGACTACGAGGACGAGGAGGACCTCGAGGAGGCCAACCGCTCCTTCTCCCGCCCGCCGCAGGCGATCCCCGAGTACTACTACGACCGGTCCGGATCCTCCGCCTCCTTCGCCACCGCCAAGATGTGATGTGACGACCAGGCATGGCATGGATCGCGAGGCCGGCCGGGCGTTCAGCATGCGTGATGATACCATCCATTTATTGATTTATCATTAGTTCTTGCTTGATCCGTTGTGTTCCGAGCCAAGAAAAAATATGCGGCGCTGCGTCCCCATTCTAACATTTGATGGACCTGTGACTCCTTTTTATTCTCCCCCCCCCGTTATTATGGGCTCCAAAACGGCAATTGTGTTGTGCAGAGATCTCGAGGGACTCTGCAAATTTCAGATGTGTGCCATTTGAAGATCCAATGTTCGTCTGCATTTACTTGCGCGTGTCACCGGGGTTCAAAAATTCGGCAAAATTTTATCAAAATTATGCGGATGCGTAGTCATAAATCATATTAATATTTGTTTAGATCTAATTTAAATTTTTAGAAATTTTTGCAATACCAAAATTGAAAACCCTGCGTATCACACGATCATGCCAGAGTGCATTTTCCTAGCTTAAGTTTTAGTTTTACTACAAATTGATAAACACAATACACAAAGGAGCGTTCTGAACCACAGTGATGCGTAATGCAAAGTCCACGGTGATTGTTGAGTTTAGTACATGTGAAGTTTGGTGTGCACCGTGAGGCATCAGCATCCCCCAGAAGCGAACGCCGGCATCTGCGTGGCAACCATGTCGGCCCCATCCTCTCCTGCCTCCTCCTCCTCCTCCTCCACCGCGGCCATGTCGCCGGCGCTTGGCATGGCGGCAAGCATACTTTCCATCTGTGGGATTTCGAGGTAGAGTGGGCGAAGGAGACGAAGAGCGGAGGAGTACGACACCGTCAGCTTCGACGACAGCGGCTGTGGTTCTTGCGGGTTCTTAGCGAGCTTATTGTGTTGTCCAGTGAGCTTGGCGGACCAAACGATGTTAGGCCACGAGAAACTTGCAGCTGAACCGCGTTGTCTGTGAACGTTGATTTTGCGGGACGGGTTGGTGGGCAACGTTAAAAACCCGCCTTGCGTGCATCCTGACGTGCACAGAAGCAAACAGTTATTATTGGTGTATAAAGAATTTTGCCAGCCAGATCAGGGTCATGCGTCGAACTTGATGTGAATCTGCCCTCGTGCTTCAACCATCAGCCATCCGTGCGTCGAAGCATACTTTCCTGCTGACATGGTAATGTTAAGATTTAGAGAAACAGTTAGTTAAAGATTAAACAATTATATAAAAGAGAAAATTCATAAAGATTAAACAATTACCTTAGGCAGTTAAGTGCCTAGCAGATTGAATATTTGAATACTCAATTAAATTGCAGTTTTTGTAAATCCCAAATGATGTCCATCCGTCTGGGTCTATGAATCACTGATTAATCAATCACAGAAACACTATCGGATTCAGCATAGGGCAGTGTCGGCTGTACATGATTAGGGATCATAGACAGAGATACCTGGTGGCTGCCGGTTGGGACTGGAAGCCTGGAATACGTCGTCGTCGAGTTGCCCTCGCCCTATGCGGTCGTGCGCCGTGCGGTCGTGCTAAGCCGCCGGCCCGGCGACTCGCAGTCTAGAGGAAAGAGGATGAGAGGAAGTCGAACAGCGCCGTCCCGCTGGCGCCGAGTCGCGCGGAGACAAGTCGCTGCTGTAGTGCTGCGTGCCCAGCCTGCGTATAGCATATGTATGTTATACTGGGCTGAGATATGCTGAATGTATGCATACAATACATGGGGAGGCCGGGAGGGGCCCATCGGCTTCCATGGCCTGGGACGGCTGCCCCTCTCACCCTGCCCCAGGGCCGGGCCTGGCTTCCCTCAAGGTGATGCAAAGTCCCCTGTCTTCCTGTAGTAGCTTCCCTCTATCCACGTGATGGTTAGCCCCTCTAATCGGACGCATGGAGGCATGGAGCTCAACATGAACCAAAGATTCATAGTGAAGAAAAGGAGGCGACAAGACAACGAACCTCATTGGAATTGGCAACCGTCAATCAACATGACCCCTGCTGACTCCTATGCCAGTCTCAGTGGCTATTTCATGGAGAGGATACATTAGGGGAAAAAAAAAGGAATCTTTGTATGATCTGGGAAGGAGAGAGAGGGCAAACATTTCATGAGGATGGAAACGAGCGTGCACCGTTTCCAACTCATCGGAAAGCGCATGAAACCAGCGTTGAGGGGCTTCGTTTCATCCACTCCGATCCCGTGCTCCCAGCTACACGCGCCGACGCGCGCCGACGTCCTCTTCCTTTCCGCCTCCTCCCGCCATCTCCATCTTCTTCCCGCTCAATCTCCTCCTCTTCCCTTCCGTGGAGCATATCCAAGTAGCCGTGACCAAGTCCCACACTTGCACCACTGCCCTTCCGCTCCGACTATCTCCTCGTGTGCAGATGGATGAAGCTTCGACGGCGGCGGACAGCTCAGTGCGGCGCACCTCCGGCAGAGGATGAAAACGACATGGGGGCGGCCAGCGTAGCCGCAAGACGGCGTCCCGCCTGCGCCATCGCCGCCTCCAGGCTCCTCGCTAGGGCCGCCGCCGCCGCCGATTTGCCGCCGTCAATCTCCCCACAGCGCTGCTGCCCACTTCCTCACCTGCGCCGCCGGCTTCGGCTGCGGCACCACCGCAACCTGTGCCACCACAGCCACCCCAAGGAGCAGGAGGGGGTCCGAGATCCCCAAATTTTTCATCTCAACATGGAAACCAACCCCCAAATCGATAGTAAGTATCTTGATTGATGCTGATGCCTGCGAGTGGTTGATTTCCATGTGTACAGATGTAGAAGTTACTCCTGTATGTATATTCTTGCCAAATAAAATTGTCTGCGAGTGGCTGATGCTATCTGTGTTAAAATCGTAGATAGAAGTTCAGAATGTAGTTCAGTTGATTTTCTGTGATTTTTTTGAACTATGTCTGTGAAAATTGTAGATAGCATTTTATCTGAGATGTGAAAACTGTTTCTTATCTGCTACAATTATGCTACCTGAATGTTATCTTAGATGCTATCTGAATGTTATCAGCAAGCTATCTGAATGCTATCTAAGGGCCATCTCATTTTTGCCTGAACGCTATCTGAGATGTGAATCTGAATGCTATTTGCATTTTGCCTCAATGTATGTGAATGCTTCCATTGGATAACAACTATGTAAAGGTAATCATGCAGTGTGAAAATAGCTCTAAATATGAATATGAATATGAATATGAATATGAATGATGTTGTGTGAAAACAGCTCGAATGTGAATCAGTGGTGAAAATAGCTCTCTGAAATGTGTTCACGTGTGCTACCAATCTTTCTGATAGCAAAGAGTACAGCTTCTGCCAATTCTACTGAAGAAAATGAGAGAAAACAGTTGTTTTGGTTCTTTCGGGTTGGGCTAAAAGTTGCTAGATTCTGCATATGCAGTTTTGCGTTGATAGGTTCTGTATGCCTGTATTTAATTTCGTGCTTAGGATCCAACTGCAGCTTGGAAGGTTGGCTACATAGTTCACATGGCATATTTGATCACAACACAATGCGATAATTAAATGCTACAACTTGCCTATGAGACGATGAAATGAAAGTGTGCATTGAGACCATGTTTCATTCTCAGTGTCAGAAAACTGGCACATGAAACGTTCCACTGAGACTGGCAGTCGTATAGGTTCGCAGGGCCATGGCCGATTGCACAGGCACCCAAACAATTGGGCCTGCTTATAGTTGGGGGGAAAACGGCCCATATATCCCATAAATAACCCGATTGTTATGTGAGGAGTTTTTACTCTCCCAACAACGCCGATCCAATCGATTGCTTGAAATTCCAGTCCGCCCGCCCTGGGCGCCTCTTCGTCTCCTGCCGCCGCCCGCCCGTTCCTGCATCCTCCAAGTCCCTCCCACTCTCAATCTCTTTCTTTTATCTCCCACTGATTTTTCCATCTGATTGATCAACGCGGGCGCGCGGCTGCCGGCCACGAACTTTTGGAGTGTTCTCGGTTCTTCGATACGCGAAATGTGAAGGGCAGGGAGGAGCAGACTACGGCAGATGTGGTACATGTACATCAGACAACACTGATCGTCTCGAGTTCTTTAGGTCCCCTGCTAGCAGTGCCGCCCGTGCCGGTGCCGAGACGTGCGGCAAGACCTAAGTGACGACGCTCTCAAGGTTCGATTCTTTCCGTATCTTGGTAACCCTAGAATTCATGCATATGTACCGTTCTGTGTCGCATTAGTTATTTATTAGTTTTGTTTGGGTTACAAGCAGATCTCAAGCCTCGTCATGTATAGGAAGTATGAATCTGGCCATGAAAAGCGTAAAGAAGAAACGAAGACTGGAAGCAGCTGCTCAATCTCAAAAGGGCGCTCTTGACAGATTTGTTGTGAAAGAATCTCGGTTCAGTCCTGAGAATCAAACTCCTAGTGCTGATCCAGATGAGGGTCATGGTGATGATGCTAACAACGGAGTACAAGTCGAGGCTCAGAATGCTGAAATCGTTCAAGCTGATCATGCTAACATTGCCGTTGCCGATGAAGTTAGTGGCCATGCTGATGTAGTTAATCCCAGCTTGGATAGATCACCGAGTATTGAAGATAACAGCAGCAAGGGCATCAATAATGATTTGCAGCCGGATATATTTGATCCAAGAACTTGGGATGCGCTTGATTCTAAAATGATTGATATTTTGGTGCAAAAGGGTCCTAAAAGAGACCTGTCCATTGAGAAAGGCCCCAAAGACAAATTCTCCAGAAGGTTTTCTGCATCATCATACACTAGAGTTCTTTCCAACGGAGAAAAGTGTGACAGAGAATGGCTTGTATACAGCAAAGAGCTTGATAGAGTATTTTGCTTTTGTTGCAAATTATTGAGAAAGGGGCATGGAAAAGGTCATTTAGCAAATGAGGGTTTTAGGTACTGGCGTCATCTTGGCACTAGACTTAGAGAGCATGAAACTAGTGCAGAACATGTTATGAATATGGCTACTTGGTGTGAACTGCGTCTCAGGTTACAGAAGAATCAAACAATTGATAAAGTTGTTCAAGGAGAACTTCAAAAGGAAAGGGATCCTATCAAGT